CCTGAGTCCGCCCCCCAGAACGGACAGTCCCCCATGGCTGCACTCATGTCGGTGGCCGACACACTGGGTAATGCCCACTCGCCCAAGGACGGCAGCTCGGTGCACTCCACCACGTCCACCCGCAGGAACAGCAGCAGCCCCGTGTCACCGGCCTCGGGGCCGGGCCAGCGCCGCCTGGCCTCCCGCAATGGGGACATGAACCTGCAAGTGGCCCCTCCTCCCCCCAGCACCCACCCCGCCATGGACCAAGTGCACCCCCAAAACATTCCGGACTCTCCCATGGCCAACAGCGGGCCCCTGTGCTGCACCATTTGCCACGAACGCTTGGAGGACACCCACTTTGTCCAGTGCCCCTCTGTGCCCAGCCACAAGTTCTGCTTCCCCTGTTCCAGAGAGAGCATCAAGGCCCAAGGGGCCACCGGAGAGGTCTACTGCCCCAGCGGAGAGAAATGCCCCCTTGTAGGTTCCAATGTGCCTTGGGCATTTATGCAGGGCGAGATCGCTACCATTTTAGCTGGGGACGTTAAAGTGAAAAAGGAGAGAGACCCTTGAACAGGAAATCCAATCCCTTCAGACTCCTGAAGATGTAGAATTGTGAATATAACAAACTGCAAAAGTTAGTCTTATGTATAGACATTATTTTCGTCGTATGTTTCTATATTTTGAAACAAAGGTATGTACTCTTCTTCATTTGAAGGATAGAGCTGGTTTTTGTTAAACAGAATATAATATTGTTTGGTTACTACATAATACCTGTTCTCATTTCTTTGGCAGTGTGTTGGCTAGGTACAAAGTTAATAGCCCTTAGCGATTACCTGCTGCTGGTGTGTATTTTTGTAAATGTATGCACTTCTCTGAAAGAAGAAGAAAAACGCAAAAAAAAATCAAAAAAAAATTGCCAAGGCCAGTGTTGATGCCTAAAAATTGCTACAAAAAATGGTGACAGCTTATGTTTTACAAGCCCTGAGTGTTAGTCTTTCACTTTCTTTCTTTTTGTTTTTGTTTTTTGTTTGCAAAACGGTGGGGTGGCTGGGGGGGAGGGTGTTTTTTGTTGCAAGTTTGTAAGGAAAATGTTTCAGTTTGTTTCTATTGATCTGAACGTTTTTAATCTTCATGTGTTTTTTGTTTTTGCTTTTATTGATGCACGGATGCTTTTGAACAGTAGAGCAAAATGCTGTACATGAAAAACATGCTCTGTTTGTCCTTTATACATTTCTGTAGTTAACAGAACACTGTAATGTGCCTTGGAGCTTAGTAAATTGTAATAAATTCAATTGATATTAATACTTCCCGAGTAGCAAGTTTTATTTTCCTCAGAGGCCAGGCAGCATATGTGAGCCATGGTGCCTTCTTAAAAGTCTCTATTTGTATCCAGAGCCTGCAGTTCCTAGTGATAATTGTGGCACTTGTACGCACACTTTCACATATATGTAGTAAGCGGATGATGTTGATGGTGTTATCAAACTTATCTGAATCTTGGCACTGTGCCTATTTACATTTCACCTTTAATGTTGCAGCAACAGTTGCTGACTAAGCATTTTCTATTTACTGTTTCTGCATCTCATTTCCTCCTCCCTTCTCCTTCCCTCCCTCCGCCCGCCCCCCCAAGCCCTTCAGCTGCAATCAGTGTTGGCAATGCAGGATGCAGCCTTTGCCCGGGCATTTTAATAAAGCACGAAATTTGAGATTAACCCCTTTTTCAAAAAAAAAAAAAAAGCAGCATCATGTGGTTAATAATTTTAGATGATTTTAAAAGTGGTTGTTGCAGCTCAGTGTTAGTCCTAGGCTCTTGATAATGCAGGAATGTAGTTGAGCAGAGCACAGAAATGGGTCCTGGAGGCTGACAGCTTCTGTGGTCAGGCAGTGGCTTCAGGTTCGTGAGCTGAGCTGGGCAGCAGCTCAGGGCTCCTTGTGTGTTTTCAGGTGCAGGAAGCTGCCTTAAGGCGCTGCATTGAAATGCATTCCTTCTGGCAAGGGTCGTCTGTGATTCTTTGTATAGTTAACTATATTACCGGGCATTTGCATTTTCTGGAGAGTGGGAAGCCCTGGAATACCTATTAGGCGATCAACAGGCAAAGCAAATAGACAGGCCTCACATTGGCTGGAAAAGGCAAACAAACTTAGTGTGAACTTTGTCCTTTCCAGTGAGGCAAATGGAGGAAAGATAGAAAACCCTAAACCAGAAGAGCAGCAGGACACATACCGGTACAGTTTGGCTGCTAGAATACAGAGATGTCCTGAGGGGGGCATAGGTTATGAGCTCTGGGTTTTATTGAATATTAAGGACCCATGAAAAAATCATACTAAGATATGAAGAGGTATTTTTAAAAAGCTGAAATGATATTTGATGTCTGGTTGCTGTTAATAAGGATTTTTTTTTGCTTGTACCCCTAGTGGAGAGGATAAATGGAGTGGGGAAGCCTTGCATGCCTAGCGTGCTCTGGGCTCGCTGCTCGTTCGCGTGGCTACCGAATCCTGCTGCCCTGTGCCTATGTGTGGGAGCGGGGCTTGTCACCAGAGAGTCTTTCTTTGACATCGCTGTGATTTCAGATAATGACCTTGTACTTTGCGTTTTTTTTATTCCACCAAGTGATAATCAGTACGTTAAAATATCATAACCTATTGTTCTGATGTAATGAACTTGAGGCAATAATGTACCAAAAAAAATGTTTTGAGATAATTATAGGATACAAACTATGGAGGGAGGAAGGATTTGTACCGATCCTATTTTAAATTATTTAAAACATGCTGCTCACCACAGAGCAATTCTATTTCCAAATCAAGAGATGGTGAGAGGAGGAGGGGAAACTGTAGGTTATTGACTGACAGAGCAAAAAATTTCTACACATGGATGAAATTTGACTTAAGCCCTAGTAGAGAGAAAAATGATAATCATGTGTGAATTGCAGTTGCCATTAAAATAGAAAACCTACTGGATATTTAGCAATTCATTATGTCACAGATGTGTGAATACCCTGATTTATATAACCAGATCTACTCCTGTAATCTTTAAATCAGACATCAATAGTTAGAGCTAAAGAGAGCTCAGTGTAGTGGATTTCTTTACATGGGGAGCCTTCTCCAAAAGCTGCTGGGAGTCAGGATTTTTAACACAGGAGCAAAGGCAAGGGAAGGGGCAGTGAGCTTAAGTGGAAAAAAAATGAAGTAAATTGTAGTACTGCAGTTAATTAAAGTTAACCATAGCTACGGGGCATTTGTTGTATGGAGGTTTTTTGTAGCCATGTGACCTTTTCTTTTACTCTGGCTCATTAGGCAGCCAGTCTGGGCATATTAGCCAGCATTTCTTTGAACCCACTCCATAGGCTCATCTCTTTTTGAAGATGCCCACAGCTGACAAACAAGCTGTAACCTTTCTGGGGGGGAGGAGGAGGAGGGGGGAGCTGCGGGGGGATCTCACTGACAGGTTCAGTCGATTCCTGCATTTTACAGTAGTGCTCCCCTCCCCCATGGTTGCCAGTTATTTAAGGTAAAGCCAAATGTTTGCTTGAATAAATCATGTATGTGAGCCTATTTGTCCAGGTGGTCATCTGTTGTGCTCTCATTCCTCTTGTAGGAGGGAAGTATTTAAATGGTTTATTTTCCCAAGGAGATTTTTTTTTCCAGTTAGAGTATTCTTGCCATTTCTTTTAATAGCTCTGCAGCCTTATTTTCTAAGAAATGGGCTAGAACACGTGTGTCACTGGATGTTTGTGTTTTCAAGCGTTGGCAGCGCTGTGTGAGTTGGAGAGGGAAGTGTTTGTGCAGTGAAGACATGATATGTCCATTTGGGGGAAATACTACCCAGTTCCAGCAGCAGCCTCAAGCTCCCCAGTGCCAACTGGTGTCATTTAGTGCACATCTTGTTATATTTTTTATTTGCTTAGCAGCGCTGTGCATGCAAGCGTGTTCTTCCTGCCCCCTCCCTGTCTTCAATGTCTGAGCTCCAAACTAGTCAGGACTAACATTGTTTTGAAGCTGCAATCTCCCCGAACGGGCTGGCTGCCAACATAGCTCTGCAAAGCTGCAGTAGTCACTGGAAAAGGGCTGTCTTTACTGCTTTATGTTCTTGTGAGATGAGATTTTCCTCTCTTTGAGGGAAAGGCTTTGTCTTCTCAGAGCTCCTGGGTTCCCAGCTTACTATGCCGGAGTCGCTTTGCAGATCCCCCCCCTTTTCCAGTTCTTGCCATGTTTTTTTTTTTTTTTTTTTTTTTTTTTTTTTTTTTTTTTTTTTTCCTTTTGTGGTATGCAGCCATTCATAGTAGGGTGGTTTGTGTTGTGCATTAGCAGCCTCTTTCTCTGCCAAAGTGACACATCCTGTAGATTCGCAGCAGAGTACTGAACTGTCACTGTAATGCTGACTCTTGTAAGGTTATTCTTGAAGCAGAACAGCTTCCCCCTTGGCGTTCAGCCATCCGAGTACATTACAGCATGCATTTTCTACCCAAAACATAGCTCTGTACCTACATACTTGTTCTCACAGTCATCCCCTGGAAGGAGCAAAGGGCATGGCTGTACCACCCGCGTACAAACAGAGCCTGCACACAAATGCGTGTTTATTTTCAAGCTCTCTGAAATCTATACTGAGGATTTGGTTATTTCAGTCACCGCACTAAAGCCTGTGATACAGCCTGGGAGGGGGAAGGCCTCCGTCGATGGGGTGATACGGAAAGAACTGCAGCCAGGTCCTCTTCCTGGTGTGCATCTTGGAAGAAGGACTGGGCAAGGGCCTCGCTGTGTGGCCTGGCATGCGGCTGCCACCAGCTCCCTGGCAGCGGGGCGAGCGGCTCCGTCCTTGCGCGCCCGCCGCCGGGCTTTCTAGCTCTGGCCCTGCCTGCAGGCTTTGCGGCTCCCTGGGAACGGGCTCGCCCGGCCCGCGAGCAGCAAGGCGGGAGACTGCGTGTCACTGCAGGCTTCTGACAGCACCGCCGCTCCCTCCCAGCCATGCCGGGCACCAGCGGAGAGCGCAAAGCAGAAACGAGCAGGCAGACTGTGTGAATGGGAGGGGGAGGAACGCTTGTCACCAGCCTGCCCGGCCCATGCCGTCTCCAACTGGTTGGACCGGCTGTGCTACCCGGAGCTGGTTAGGTCCAGGACTGCACAGGCCGCGGAGCACCCGTATCGGCAACATGAGCCTCGCTGGGGTGAATGTGCCCTGCTGAGAGCGGCTGCAGCCCCCCTCCAAGCGTGTCCCTGTCTCGCACAAGCGTGTCCCTCTCTCGCACACCACCAGCAAGCGGAGCAGAGCAGAGCGGTGCCCGAACCCGCGCCAGCACCGTGCAGCCCCCGCTCCTCCCTTGGAGGGTTGCTGGGAGGCGCTGGGAGCCTCCGGGAGGTGAGGAAGGTCAAGCTTCTTAGGTTTCAGCTGATTTGGCATCCGCTCCCAGCCCTTCCCCCGCAGACCAGCGCAGCCACATGCGCCCGCTGTTGCGTTTATGGCCCTCTGCAAAGAAACCTCAGGGCTGTGAGCTCCTATCGCCAATGAATCACAACTTATTTTCAGGAACTCCCTCCCTCCCCCTTTCTGCACTGCTCAGGTTTAGCAGCGATCAGGGTGAGGAGGCTGCATTGCCCACCCCAATGCA